TTACAGTCCCATTCCAGCTATGCAGGTTCTGAAGCCTGGAATCATCTACCTGTTTCTGATGTGATTACATAAAAATTAGAGTATTTGCCTAGCATTGTTTCTGCCGAGTGCTCTTGCATTCAGTTTTGCTGTTTCAGCATACCACTTGATTCCCAGGAGAGTTTTCTCTCCACCGGGCTCCATTCTAGAGACTTGGAAGCATTCTTGACCCTTCCCAGGGAACTCTATATTTTTTGCTGGAATGATTTATCAGAAGAATGGGAATGAAGAGGAGCATGACTGTGCACCTCAGCATTAGGATGTGTAGCTCAGAGAGATCTGGATTCCCAACTCCTCTTCCAGGGCTGCTTCTGTCTATTTATCCAATGAGTATATACATGGTCATTTAAAAGGATAAAATAAAGAGGCAGGGCTGGAAACAGAGACCATTCCCCAGAATATCCTTCCTCAAAGAACAGCTTTATTAGATAGTTATTAGATAAGAGATGGGTCACTGTATCCCTGGCTCCCAGACTGTCTCCTGAACTGCCTGTGGAGTTGTTCTTGCAGGTTTAGACACCAGCTGACTGAGACTTTTTCAGCACTTTGGATTCAGGTGCATCATTTCCATCAAAGTCCCTTTTACAGAGTAAAGAGCAAAAGCCAAAAAGTTGGTGTTGTGTTGCATCATGTAAAAATGTATTGACTGCATAAGGGAGAAGGCTCCCTGAAGCTCCAACAGATACTTTTGGCCATGCACAGAGAAGTCACACTTGCATGGAGAGGGGTCCTTCAGGCAAAACTGTAAGGCATTTTGGGCTGCTAGCAATTCTGAGGAATCAGCTGGGTGCTTTAGACATCACCCAAAAATGCCTACACACTTTTTACTGCTGTGTCCTGTGTTGAAGCCAAGCTCACTTGCTCCCCACTGCTTTCCCGCAACATGGATCGTGGGAGGTCAGTTCATCAATGTTGATAAAGATTTTCCCATGGTACAAGACAGCCTAAGAGCTGATCTCAGCTTTTTTCATCACCTAAAGATGGTGATGAGAAAGCAAAACCCAAAAGAAAGTCTTTCAGTGATTCAAAGCCCATTTTCACTGGACTTTCTTGCATCCTCCCACTTGTGCCAAGTGGGACAGAGCTGGGTTGAGTTTATTTTCCATCCCCCTGATTGTTGCAGCATCTTCTTGGAGTCTCTTACTTAAAGCTGGAGAGGTCCTGAAGAAAAAAAATGCAAAAGTGGCAACCAGCTGCCTTTGCCCCATACATAGCTTTGGTATCTGGCTTACTCTGTTTTGTCTGGTACGTATCTGTGATACTATTTACATCCAGTTCTGTTTCCTGTCCACACTCTCCAGCACTGTCATATCTCCTGGTCTATGGAGTGGTATGGAAGCACACATGTACACACAGGATAGAAATTGTCAACATCTCCCATGTTTTTGACTGGAATGGCTAGAAGAGAGACTTAGGGTGGATGAACTTCCTTGACCAGTGAGAGGTATAGACAGGGAGAAGTGCATTCCCCCGTGCTGCAGTTTTGAATAGAAGGAGCTGTAGGTCTTTCTCTGGGTTGGTTTCAGCTCCAAAACCAGGGTAGGAAGCATCCACCTTCAGCCCAGAGAAAGGGGATTTTCTTGGTCCCAAGCACTGCCCCAGCGAGCTGGCTGTCAGTCCCAGGAGAGCAGCTCTGTACCAGCCTGACTCATTCACCAGCACAAAGATGTCGGCTCCCCATTCGTCGTGGCTTCAGTGCAAGCAGCGAGACTTTTGCCTCTAAACCTCCGCAGCTCATGGCCCTGGTGCTTTGCGAAGTAGACTGTGTCCACAGCTGGACATGGTGTTTCACTCGGTGTGCTCCCTGGAAGCACCACAAATTGGGTTCTCCGGGGAAACCCTTGACACTCTCCAGTGGTGCCCCAAGCCCTGCTTCTTCCTGTTTCTAACTGCAGTCCTTGTTTTGTGAAGCTGAAGCATGTATCTGACATAAGTACCTACATCTCCACATCAGACTGACCCAAAGCAAAAAGAGCTTCACATCTTTTGTAAAATTGAGGTCTCAGTATCCTAAACATACCTTTCAAATGCAACTGCAGGATCTGCATAATTTAAACTTTTGCTCTAAGCTCGTTACCTCCTTCAGGCAGTTCCTGACAAATAGAGATTATGTCTGTGGTAAACACAACAGAAAAAAGGCCTCTTTGATGTTTTCACAGTGTGTTCGAAGCAGCTTGGGTGCTGAGCACAGAAAACTCATTTCCCTTTTACCTGAAATGCCATTATGTTTATTAAATTGAGTGGCATTAATCCTAGAACATACCCAGGTCTTTTTGTGATTTTGCATTTGTCATAATTAAAAGATCTCACTATGTATTTCTCTATACCTCTAAATAATATTGCCCATCATGTAATATTTGTCTCAGGTTTTCCTTAGTGACTTTGTATCAGAGCTGAAAAAGAGCTATCACAGAAAATAAAGTGGGACTAAAATAACAGTCCTTTGTATTAAATTTAACATTTGGCTTCTGTCCCAGAATCTTCCACATCCATATTAGAATCAGATGGTAGCATAAGATGAAAAGATTTCCTGGATGGGTTTTATTCTTATTCTTATTAAAGGGCTGATAACAGGCTAAAGGCAAGATACTTGTAGTAAAAAAATCTGCCTAATATCAAAGGCTGGATAGACAAGATAGACATGTATTATTGTTAGGCCTCCCTGCTTGATCACATTTCAGTATCATAAAATCACTCTGCTAGCGAACATGAAGTATAAAAATTCCAGTGTGAGAGCAAAAAGCCCAGGCTGGCCGGTAGCGCTTCTTTGGGCACACTGCTTTATGCTTAGTAGCTGACCATAAGACAATACAAGGGGTTTAATAACAAAAACTAGTGTTGGAAACAGCACGGTGTAGCTATATTTATTTTAAATTTTAGTTATTCTCAAGTATTTGCATTCACACGAGGCACGCCCTTGGCCTGACTTACCTGTGGAGCTGATATCCAATGTGATGTGACAGCATAGAGCAGCCTCATCAATAGTGCTCAGCCTTCTTCAGGAGCCCTTAGCCCTGTCCCTGAACCAGCCACTTGCCTCAGGTTCCTTTGGCAATCTGGAGACAAAAAGATCAAAGGGACCTAAACACTCTTCAGAAAGCAATTTTCCCTTTACTCAAAGCAGCTTTGTATAGTACTTATGTATGATTGGGCTGAAATTGTACAAACGTTTGTAGGCTCTGGGTAATCTATGCAAAAACAATTACTTTTGATAAAACGGAAGGAGTGGTGCTTTCTAGTGTTGCTGTTCTGCTGGAGTGGAGCCTACGAGCATGATATTGGAGCTATAAATTAGATTTTACAAAGCAGCTCTTCTGTAGGGAGTCTGCTGCTTCAGACCGACAGGCTATAATTAGCATTTTCTTGGGGATATTTTTGCTGTTTTGACACAATATCTTCAGCAACAAAAGTAGAGGAGCAATTGCAGGCTTCATTTCAGTTTGTGATCGCAAAGGGTATCAAAAAGCAAATATGCTTTATAGATATATTTATAATAAGCTGATTTTCTAAATGCACTTTTTAAAAGCAACTGGTATGTGGTTTGAATGTACAGACAGAATCATTTCATCAGCACTAACTGTTTTTACAGTGTCAATGTCACAATCTGAGCTTATACCCAGCAGTCCTTTTGCAGTCAATGGAGAGAAATGTGCACGTTTAGAGGAGTAATTCATCTGATGATTTTAGACATCTTTCCAGTGAGATAGATTGTATTCTAGAAGAGCCTATTTCTCTCCTTAGCAATAATTAATCCTAGTATGATTAGTTCAGGAGGAGCTATCTGTGGTTAGGTGAGATGGATCACATGCAGCATATTTCTGAATAGCACTCTATTCTCACTCTGCTATTAACACTGTTTGTATTAATGCTTTTTTTTTGTCTTCAAAATTATCAGATTATCATAGGGAATACACAAAGAGATCACTTGTGTTTGTAAGAAATACTTGGTTCAGCCCTTAAGAGGTTTTTACTACTGATAATTACAGCTACCTTAATGCTTCCTGTGAAAACTGTTTTGGTAGTTGTATTGATCATGTCCTCCGTACCTCAGGTATTCGTTCAATCCTAAACATCTTCTCAGATGAAGAGTGCATTCTGGGGATTGTTGAATACTTCAGCAGTACTAAGGGACATAGGGCAGGAATCTCAGATGACATATGACTTCCTTGCACTCTCCTGAAAACAGCTTCAAGGAGGCCGGATGAATGGCGCTGTAACACCTACGTGCCTGTTTTCAGGAATGTTACTACAACTAGGATGAGGAATAAGGAAGTATAATTTGTATTGGGGAACAGTGTTGAAGCCTTCGTTACTTGGGTTCACCTGAACCATGCTTATGGGTTTATTTCAATAGAAGAAAAGCCCCCAAAACTGATCCCCTCAAGAAGAGTTTGCCATATGACAGGGCACAAAGGGTAAGTAGCATCTTAGGAGACAGAAGAATTTCCTTTGATCAGCCCTCGGCAAAATAAATAGAGTAACACCTAGTAACTGAAGAATCAACATTATTTCTGAACTGTATAAAGTCAGAATAGAAGTAATAAGGTATTATTGGTCCCATATTTGTTGTTTGTAACTATATCATACTGGTGCAAGCAGATTGATTTCCAGAAGGTGATAGCTGCTGGAAACATATCCTTGAGAACCTTTCTTGTTCACTACCCCATCATTTATCATTACTGTTGGAAGTCTTGGCTTTGTTGTAGAATCTGGTATCTGGATTATTAACACTCAGAAGCTCAAGGCTCCCTAGTATGGTCCACTAAGCATTAGCTTTCCACCAATTAATCTTCTGGTTGTTTATGTAATCAGTTTCTCTAGGTGAGTATGTATTCTGTTTCTTTATTAATTAATTCTTTCACCTCAACTTTGTTTATTCCCTCCCTTGTCAGGGTCTTACGTTAGTATTTGCAGCATTGCCTAGTGACATGGGAAAACATTTGCTTTTCCTTTTTTTACAGATATAACTGCAATTGCACCATGTATTTTGAAGACTTCACCAACAGATCAGCAGCTGAACAAACTTGCAAGAAGACTGGGACCTGAATGGGAGCATATAGTTCTGTGCTTGGGTTTGTCCCATACTGACATCTATCGATGTAAAGTCAATCACCCTCACAACCTGCAGTCACAGATAGTAGCTGCATTTGTCCTGTGGAGACAGCGTTTGGGGAAAAAAGCAACAATCCAAAGTCTACAAGCCAGTCTGCTGGCAGAAGAAGTGGATCCTTCTGTGATACAGTACATGCTTGAATGAAGACTTGCTGTTGATTGGGAGCTATCAAGTACTTCATTAAATTAAATAAAAAGGTTTCACTGAAATGTATGTTGAAGATCTGACGCATCAAACTGAAAAAAAAATGGATTGGGAACTGTGTTTTTATTAAACATTCCAGTTTTCTGTGGCATCTTGTGACTTGTAATTCTTTTCATGCCAGATTAATTTTTCGCAGGCATTAAAAAATGCATCACTCTTTCCTGTTTGCTTTTGTACTATTCCAGTGGGGATATAGGGTGACACTTAAAGTTCTTGCAAGCAGGAGGCCCTGCAGTTTGTTCAGCAAGGTTTCTGGTTTCATTGCGGGAGCAACACTTGATTTAACCTATTTTCTGGACTGTGTAGAAGCCTTTTTTACTGCCATTCCGTGCTAGTTCCCTGATATCCCAGCAAGAAATGTGAATAATCACTGTTACTAATTTAACAATTTTACAACAGTTATTGCAGGTGGCTAATTTCACGTTTATAAAAGTTTTAGCACATACAGTTTCTTGCTAGGATAGATGGCTGCCACCTTAGTCTGCCTTTGAAACTGGCCCTAAGTGGAAGTAACAGGAACCTAGTGTGCCTGTGAGGGTTTCTCCTGTTATTATTTAATGGGTGTAGGTTTCTTCAAGGAAATAGGCACCGTGCACATAAGCCATCTTTTAGCATAACATGGGTGAGGAGTTCTCAGGGCAGACATGCAGTAGAAAAATGACCAGAAGATAGGCAGGAACAGGCAAACAAAGTGAGAAGGGGCCTACAAAATGAGACAACTTCTAAGTTGTTCATGTTTGTCTCTGCTAATAAACTAGGAGACAACCTGGTGCCTTAAGAGTCTTTGTACTGTGCTCTGGATCCAGGCAATCTTGTTTCACAGAATTTTTACTCTTAGGTCAATTGTCCATAGGCACCTTTCACTGATCACTGCATGCCCAACAGGGTACTGAAACTTGGAGGTCTTTTCTGGTCAAGATGAACTCCCTGCTGCTCTCCTTCCAGCTTGTGCCATCCACCAGGCTCATTTGTTTTCTGCCAGCTTTTCTCCACCTAATGGGGTCAGCTTTGACACTTCTATCCCCAGTTCTTTGCCAGCTGTAATTGTACCACCAGTGATGATTAGATTTCATTCAGAAGAACAGTAAAGCTTGGGCTTTTCTCCTTGCCTCCTGTAAAGGAGATTTTCTTCCTGCTGGAAGAACCCACTGAGGTTTTTGCTGACCAGGTAAGTAGCGATCAGTCCACAGGGTATGTATCCAAATTGAAGTGACCAGTTGCACTCTGAGGCCTGATGATAAGAGGCAGAATACGTTTTATTTCTCCCTGAGCAGTTTGCTGTACAGTAAATGATGAAGAAAGTTTGGACACAGGCTTTCCAGGTTTATTTATGAGCAAGTTATGGTAGACTGTTTCATCTACAGAGTCATTGCCAAGTAACTTCCTATCCTGCAAGAGCTGCCCCATATAATTTAACAGCTTAACAGCCTTGTCAGAAGCCTTTACTGGGGCAAGAATGAATTTTACTGCCTTTTTTTTTTTTTTTTTTTTTTTTTTTTTTTTTTTTTTTTTTTTTTATTCTTCCTATACCCAGATTTTGGAACATGTCTAGGAAATTAGGAAAGGCAAAGAGATTTTAAGGAAATCCTGTCTGCCTTGATTTTCAGAAGTGTGGAAACAGAAAACATATCCTGGCAGGATCAGCTCCTGCAGGTCCCGAAGCAATCTGATGGTATTTTGGCCTTAATCTTCTGTATACAGTTCTAACCTTCAGTAAATCATGATCCAGTTATACCTCACTCAGATCTTAACTAATTATATCCTATTATGGCTACTTACAGAGTTTAAGTCTATCAACAAATCCCAAATAAACAATAGAAATCAATTTAATCCTTGGTATTTATTTATTTTTTCTGTTTCATGATGCTTTAATGCCAGCATATTCTTTTTCTTTCATTGAAAACCATCCTGGAGCATGTGTACAGACAATTGTCAAATTCATATAAACATGGCTCAGCATAGGTAGGATAGGTAGCATAGAGAGGACTCTTTACTAAGAGCAAAACTCAGCCTTTGTATCCAGCATGGTCACAAACTCTCTCACAATTCTGCCAGTGAAATGGGCAAGAACATTGTCTGCATGTTAGGGAACAGGGGCAAAGCAGTGTCCATAGCAGTTTGGAGGAACAAAAGCTGGAGATGGGGAGCAGGAGAAACTACTGAAAACATGATTTAGAGGAAGAATCTGGCTTCTAGCAACATAAATGCAAGTACTTTATCTTGTTCTGAGTCTTAACACAGATTGGTCTCCAAGGGAGTCATCCCCAGCATGAGCGCAGTGCACTGGGAAGGCAACCAGTCCGGGCAGTAAAGCAGTATAATGGGCACACCCACAGGGCCCTGGTACCTTCTTCTTTGGGTGAACTTTGTATTTCATGTTCTTCATGTGTAAGACCAATGTCAGGTTATCCATAGCTAATATATTTAGAGTCCTTTTAATGGTTAAGAAGACAGCCTGGAGTAGGTATGAAGTGTCATGCCAAAGAAGCATTCCTTACAAGTTAGGCATCCTTCTGTGTATCTACTGTGGGCCCCTGGCAACCTGATGGGTGAGTATCAAAACAGAGTATTTCTCCAATTAAATTGGTCTTTAGGTGAGCTAAATTCTGCATCCCAGCAGTGGTACTGAAATTACAGGAGCCACAGCTAGACAAGGAAGTTAAAACCTGGACTCTTGCATTGTAGAACAAAGCACTTAATTCATAATTTATAGTTACTTTCACATTCCCAGGCCCTAAATAAATGTTGTAATACTTGAGTTGCAAATATTGAAGGGAGGGGTTTACTTATTTTATGAGATTGTTTCCATTGCTGTTATTTTTAAATTCATGGAAATGTTCCTAGTAGACTCTTCAGTTTTATTAAAGCTTGTTTTTGCACCACACAAATGCAGGGACACATTTAACTTGACAGTAGTATTCCTTTAACCCAGTGGATTTTTCCATCCACTTAAAAATATTTTTCTTCTCTGTGTAATGCTTTATTTTGCACAAGGATGCAATTAAGACAATTCTTCAGATGTATAGCAAAGCCTCTTATTCTCTCTCAGGACAGCCAGAAGGTCTTAAAATGGTTATTCTTCTCTCGCTAATTTGGGAGAAAATGTTATTTATTTAAATCTCACTCATAGACAAGCCTGCAACTTCAGTATTGTTCAGGAGAGAGGCAACTCAGCAAATTTCCCCATGTCTCACTTCGTCTCAACTCCCTTACACCTCCACTTTGGGTGACAACAATGGGCTTGTGCAGGGGCTCTTGTCCTCCCTGCCCACCGTGCCCCCAGGACTGGTGCACAGAGCAGGCTGACAACCAGGAGCAAGGACTTGTCTCTCTTCCCCTGCTGACGGCTTGCAGCTTAGATGCGTGGCCACTCCAGGCTTCAGGATAGCACATGGGCTCAGGGGCAAAGGTTAGCCAGCAGCAATTGCTCTCTGATGTGTTTGGGTTTCTTAACTGATGATGAAAAAGCCTTTCTAGTGAAAATGAAATTATTGCTATCTACTTGTGGCAGTTTTTAGGAGCCCGGAGCGAAGAAAGCATAAAAGTGGCTCGTGCTGGACCTTCCACGGAAATGGAATGTCTTAATTTCTAGTCCTTGGAAAAAGTAGTTGTTCATTTTCTTCCTTGGTCTATCAAGGAGACTCTGGGATCCCGTTTAACTTGCCTAAGTGGAAAGTAGGCTTTATAAAAGGTGTTTTGTACTCTGCAAGTACAGGTGGACTTTTAGCATATCAATAGGCAAAGTCTAGAACACTACTTCCCATGTGTATAAAGGAGCAGGGATGATCATAAAGGAGGGATCTCCTCAGGGCAGAAACATGTCAAGGAGGGTTTAGGCTGTGTTGAACAGTGGCTGGACTGTAGCATAAAATGAAAATCTTTGAGCCACTTCTCCCAGACGATGTGGGGGAAATTTCCATCTTGAGTCATATGTTATGACAGTCATTGATCTATGGAATAAAACATTTTGTAAAAGGCTGGAAAAATAAACAGTCATATTATATTCAAAGAACATAAAAGGCATGCTCATCTGATGCTAAATGTGGTCATGCTGACAGTTTTGTTTCTTACTGGAAATAAAAACAGTTTCTGAGAGCTAATTGGTTTATAAGCTTCCATATTCTCCATAGTAATAGTCTAATGTCAAGGCATAGTAGAAATAGAGCTGAAAAGGAGGTTCATAAAAGCTTTGTGTATTTGCAATTCAGAAGCTTTGTCCAGGTTTCACTAAATTAAAGGAATTTTGACTTTCAAGGTGTCTTTCTATCACCTGATAAATAGACCTAAAAGTGAATCCAGTGATTTGGCTTTTTTTGGCCTGAATACAGTGTCTTTTTTAACTGATTTCCTGAGAAAAAGGAACATTTGCCGGAAATGGAAATAATCTTTCAAAATATCTTTTCAGATTAAAAACAGGAGTATGTGTTTTAGCAGAATTAATTTCTGAACCTAGCTTTTTAGTTGTGAAACAAGATGAATTGGCAATTTCCCTTTGAAGCTGTTGGAGAGAGCTGAATGATCAGCAGGGCTGATAGTGGTTCAGGAAGACTCCCGACACTCCTGTAGCAGTGACTGCATTAAAATGTCTGCACGGGTTACAGATACCATTTCTGACACTGATGTCTGGTCCAAGACCCAACAGCAAAGAGACAAAAAGTCTCTTACTAATTTCAATGTGCTTTGGATTAGGCCTTCTTTAATTGGAACCTGATGAAGCATGGTACTTTTACTACCTTCCTTTGAAAAGCAGTCTTCATGGATTTGGGGCAATAAAAAGAAAAGGGGTTTTTGTGGGTGTAGTAAGCACTGTAGGTTATGGGGTCCTCTTTTCACTGCCTCAAGTGCTACTTTGCACTATTCACTTCAAAGTAAGCGTCATGAGGAAGGAAAAAGAACAGAGGAGTGGAGTATTCAGCAAAGGATATCAGTACGTTTCCAAAACCAAGATCGAATTCTGGAATGTGAATAATCCCCTAAGAAGTGGGATTTGATGGCTCGGGAGACTGTTAATAGACTCATGGAGTTTTCCACCTTGAGATCAAGGATCCAAACCCACACTGACCCAAAAGAAACACAACTGAATGGCAGTCTGTGCAAAATGAACTATGCATTTTCTTTCTTTAGGACTTTCATTTCTGACCTACGCTGCACCAGGTTTTGCTATTCAGACTTGGAAAGGGGCACAGAGGATTGAATGAACCAAGTACTTTGAACTGCCCTCTGCCCAGAATAGGGACAAACCCATTAGACCCTGGGAGAGCAAAGCAGGCAATGTGAGTTGCCACAGCCAGTGTTAACATTCACATGGTGTGTGTAGAGAGGCCATCTGCTTCCCAGGATGTCACCCAGACCTCCTCCGCATCAGCAGCAAGCTCATTCACAGAGGAGGACACACAGAGACCTCCTTAACAACTCCTTGCAGCAATACACTCAGAGGGTATATTTTCACTTGCTGGCTTGTTATTACTCTCCTGTGAGTGCTGTCATAGCACTGCCTGAGGAATCTGTGTCTAGTCATAATATTTAACCACCCAAAGTCCTGTTTCTGCATGACAGAGTTTCCTCTATGAACAGGCTCAGGGCACAGTAGGATCTCGAGTGCAGATCCCATCAGCATTGTTTCTAGTTAAAGATACATTTCCAGAGTCATTCTGGGTTTAACAATGCTGTGATTTTTTCCTTAAATTCAGAGTCGACCCAGTACTTGCTTCCTGGTTTGATTTTTGGGCTGGTAGGGTGAGTTTTGCCCCATGCAGCTGTAAGTCAGCCTGCCCCATGGCATGCAGCTCAAGCCCGGGCCTCAAAATTAGCCCTTCTGACTTTTAAAATATGCAAACTCTTCTAGCACCTGAGACGCCTGCATGTTGCTGTTCACTGCAATTTCAATCATTACGTACTTTATTGACTCTAATCTTCCATCTTTGCACCATTAAATTTGGATTAACCTGAAGGGAATCACTGCAAACTAGAGTGGAGGTATTTTTTTGCACGCACACTGAAAACTGTTCCCTAGGAAGCAGACACGTGGAGACACACTCCTTTGATGTTCGTTTTGATTTTGTAGTGATACTTTCTCTGCCAGGAGGGTGATATTTCCCAGCTCACAATCTTGTGGACTCCAGGAAGGGGTTGGGAGTGTTCCCAACTCAGCTGAGGCCCGTCAAGACGAGCCCATAACCACATTTGCCTTTGTGGCACCTTAACAGGAATGACACTGGGGATGCATGGCACAGTCATCGCCTTTGAAAGCTCAATGAGCACCCAACACCCCTGTAAAAAAAAAAAAGGATATAAAGACATACTAACAGAAAAATATAACTTTCAATTATCTGAGCAGGCAGACCTCAGTGATACTGCCTTTTATGAAGTAATTTTATTTTTATGGACACACTTGCTAGGCTTTATTTAAATAAGAAAGCAATTGAATAACCAGAGCATGTGGAGACTCCTGATAAGGACCC